CATCCTTGAGTACCATTGATTCTCTAATGGATAGTGATTCATAAAACACATTCATAAACCAAAATGCTCTTACTAATCCAAGTACCGAATCAACACTCAAGAGAATTATTTATCTACTTCTTTCTCAAGAAGGAATGGATTCCATCTCGTATAATAACATTCCCGGCTACCTATTTCATCATGTCTCCAAAATACAAGGAATAGGATTCAGGGTCTCAGAATCCGTACCAAATAAATCAAAAGACACAAATCCATAAATAGGAGTTTGTTAAGAACTCACGATTAAGATCATTCTATATATGACCACCGGTAGACTCAATTAGAATTTCTATGCTTAACAAAAATTATTAGAAATTCATATTGTGTCTGTGTTCCTGTTCCACACAATCTCATTATGCGAAATACACTCATTCAATATCTCACCATATTAACAGTGCGGATAGCACCGTTCCATTCTAAATGGGAATGACATGTAATAATAATGTTTTAATTAAAGATTCTGAACTTTAATTAAATTCATTATGAACAACGTTTTTATTATTATTATCCTTAAATATTATTCTCTCGTATATAACACTTATATACAATGTTTAAGGTACATAAATAATCACGGAATTTTCATTTGATATTCATAAAATATTCATAAATATATGCACATAAAATGATGAATAAACTCTTTTATTAATTAAATAATAAATATCTTATTACATCTCATGCTTCGAGGACACTATTCCCAACAAACATGCCATAGTTACTTTGAATATGAGAAGTTAAGACTTAAGAGCCCGTTTGGAATGTATACTCAAACCATTATTCTTGATTCTGACGTTTAAAATTTAAAATTTTTATGAGAGAAAAACATTGTATCAGAATCAATGATTTGAGTATGAATATATGAAACAACTATTTAATATTTTAGAAACATTTTCTTATTATAGGGATACAGAACTTTTTGGAGACATAGTTAAGTTAATAAAAGCTAAATTTAAAAGTTATTGGTCAGGTTATCCTATGTTATATGCATTAGCAACCATTTTAGATCCTAGGTGCGGAGTAGATGGAACTGAATCATTGATAACTGCTACAGCAAAAAATTTAGGAATTGATATGCAACTATCTATTACTGACGCTAAGAAAATGTTAGAAAAAGTATTTAGTTTGTATGAAGTAAAATACGGCACAGGTAAAAAAGAACAGGGAACTTTGACATCAACTAGCAGTTCGGGGCCTAAAGGATCGTCGTGGAGTTTTTTGAAGAGAAAGAGAAAACGGCAGGATCGTCATCAACATAAGCGTCTACCGAACTAGTAAAATATTTTGAAGCAAATTTTGTAATCGATGACGACAAACTAGACATCTTACAGTGGCGGAAGAGCAAGACCGATCGTTTTCCAACACTGTTTGTAATAGCTCGTGACCTTCTGACAACTCCAGTGTCAACGGTAACATCAGAGTAAGCATTTAGCACAAGCAACCGAATTCTTGACGATAAGAGAAGCAGAATGCATCCAGATATGTTGGAGGGCCTAATGTGCGTAAAAGACTGGAAAGATACCTGAAGATGAAAACAACAATACACGGATGATTCAATGCAATACTATTTTTTTAACTTAGAAATAATAGAATCTTCTAGAAGCACTTAGGTTTGTAATTTACTATTCCTACTGCACTCTTTTTTCCTTCGCTAAGATTTTGTCCCAATCTCCCAATGGGTTTTACTTGGCAAGGTTTTTAATGAGGCAGTCATTTATGTGTACTTATTCCTATTATGTCAATTCAATAAAATCACATCTTTTGGGGGCATATGATATTTTTTTTAATTAATTTTTTTTTATAAAAAATACAAGGGCCAGGGCCGGCCCGTGAAGGGCCTGGGCCCAAGCCCGACCCTGGCCCTTATGGACTAGGGCCGCGGGCCTGGACTGGGCCTGAGTTTTTCTCCTCAGGCCCATGCCAGGCCCGACCTGCACTGTGCAGGGCCATGCCAGGCCCGGCCCAGGCCCGCCACGGGCTTGGTGTTGGACGTGTCGTGCTGGCCCAACAAAGCACGTTTGACACCTCTACCTTGATGGTTAGAGACTGGGGTACCCATTTAATTCAGTCGATGGATAGATCACTAAGATAGCATGGTAACATGAAAGAGGCATGAACATGGGATACATAAATCGAATCCTTGTTAAGTAGAGAATTGTCAAAACTTGAAACTCTTGCCCTCATAGTTAAAAAGAGCATCCTTATTCACCCCATAGAGGTTAAACCCACTTGAGTAAGGTAGGTCCCATTAGATGGGTAGACAGGACTTAACCTAATAGGACCCATTATTTTATGAGTCGTATGAAGTTTTATTTTCATCGGAATAAATATAATTTTTTGGTTAAAAATGCATATCCTAATCATTCCAACTCGTAGTATTTTTTTTATGGATGGTGAGAAAGCTTTTAATTCATTGCATTATTTGAATAATCATATTGTAACATATGACATGAAAAAATATCTATCACAACTGCGCAATTTTAAAAATATAAGATTTTTTTACTAAACTTTGTTAAAGTTTAATGTGATTCTAATATAATTGTCTCTTAAAGATTATGTTCTACTAATAG